CCTTGTGGTTTTAAAGGCCCTTAATGTTGTCCAGCTGCAAAATAAAAGGAATTGGGAGGGGAAGTTGGAAGGAGTGGAGGGGGTTGGGGGGGAATGTGTGGAAAAGAACAGGGAGTCTGGCTTTTATTTTTTTTTTTTTCAAGTGAGTTCAGTGCCAGCCTGGACATTGGCTGTGCAGACTGTTGAGCCATTGTCTGCTCCATTTCCAGAATAGCCCCCAGTTAATCACTTCGGCTTTGAAGGGAATTTCCTCGTGGAATTCTCCACAGAAAATCTAATCAACTGACCTGCCCTCTCAACAATGGAAGGCTTTTTTTTCTCTCTTTCCCTTATTGGGGCGGGCTCTGTAATGTAGCCTTTTGTGCAGAATGAACCCTCCCAGTAGGAGTGGAGAGCGTGTGTGAGTGACTGTGTGTGTGTATGTGTGTGTGTGTGTGTGTGAAGAATGCACACTATCTCGTGTTGGTGAGTGTGTGCTTACTCCCTGACCAGATGCTGCAGTGCGCGGGGCAGCCACCAGCTCTGCATGCGTGTCTGTGTAAGTGTCTCTCTCTCTGTGTGTATGTGCCTCTGTCATTTCATGTCAAAGGTACATTACCTGATTACCTTCCTCGCCTGCCAGATTTTTATCTAGATAATTGGAACTGCTATGGAGGCTGAGCCTTGCCAGCCAGCTTAGGATCTGTAAAGCCATAGTTTGTCCACCTTGTTATCTGTGGCTGCCTGGGCAGAGGAAATTAAAGAGATCCACAGCCAGGGGAGCGCTTCCCACCTCTGACCTCCCCAGCAATCCTGACCAGGACAGTTTGTTAGTACCATCTTTTTGTTTTCAGTTTTTGGTTTGCTTTGGGTTTTTGTTCCCTCGTGTGTGTTATTTTGGCATGTGGATACCTATTCCCCTCCACATCGCACATCGTGTTTTATGGAGTTTGGAGCTGAGGAAACTTTGGTTGGGTTGCCAGGACGTTCGCACCACTTTGTGGAAAGCACGAGCTAACAGTGAGACCGACAGAGTGAGTGACAAGTTGTTTACAGGTTTCCTTGAAGGGGCCTCTGCTATATTTCAATCTGTCAAAGTTGCTTTTCTTCCCTCAGAACAATGCCTGATTGTTGTGTGTGTGTTTGTGTGTGTGTGTGACTGTGTGTGTGTATGTTTCCGTGTGCGCACGGAGAGAGCCTAGAAAGGGGTGAGAAGGAATAACAATTCTTTGTGTAAAAACGCTATTACTAACATTTAATTTTTTTGCTTTATTAGTTAGTAAATGCAGTTTAATTGAGCTTCTGTTAGTATACAGATTTCTCTTTTAATCAGCAGCAAATGCATTTAAAAAAATCATACTGTTTTTTGTGTGTGTGTGTGACTTTTATTATTTAGAGGAGAGAGAGTATAGGAGACGTGTTAAATGAGTTGACTTCTCACATTCGGTGATGTCTAGAAGAGAGAATTAAAAGGAAAGGACAGGCACCCTGAGGTTGTCTAGTGCCTTGCAGCCGGAGCGTGCGGCTCCGCGGAGGGGGGAGCGGCCAGACCCCGCTGCTGGAAGTGCGCTACCCCTTTAAGAGACTGGTCAAGGAGTCCTAGGAGAGGGAGGGGGGAGAGGGGGAGAGAGAGAGAGAGAGAGAGAGAGAGAGAGAGAGATTGAGAGAGAGAGAGAGATTGAGAGAGAGAGAGAGAGAGAGATTGAGAGAGAGAGAGAGAAGAGAAGAGAGAGAGAAAATCAATTGGTTTAGAAGGTTTGGACTCACTTGACAGGTTCAGTTGGAGACGATCATAGGTGGCTGCTGTGACAAAGGGAAATTGTGCTTTTCCAGCATGCTTACTGACCCTGATTTACCTCAGGAGTTTGAAAGGTGAGTACAGTTTTCCCCCCTAATATATTGAAGTACAACTCTCCCATTTTACAGTAGTCTCTGAATCAGTTGGAAGATGCTGCCCTAGAACGTGATTGTTAGAAAAGCTTTTAGCTAGTGCTTCTGCAAGCTTGTTAGCTGATTTTTGTCGTGATTGCCCAGACCAAATTGCACTGATTTGCAAAGTCTCCGAGATTTTTGCTAATGTTTTTAGGTTGCGTCCTCTAACAGGAAATTAAATGAACATTAAGCATCTCTCTCTCCTCCACTCGCTGCTTTTCTCTATGTCATTCACTCTTTTACTTTCTTCCTTCATTGATATTTTTCTCCCCTTCTACACCTTTTTAAATGCTTTTGTGCAGTGTTACCATTTTCAACATCTCTGTCTCGTAATTTCTGGGGTGACAGAAGGTTTTAGTGGTGGTTAAAACGGCGGCTATAAGCTCCTATTTGATCTTTCTGTGAAACTTTGGAAGCTGCTCAGGAAAGCACATGACCTTTTGTTGATATAAGAGAGCAGGTTTTTTTTTAAAAAAGAAAATTTAACATTACAGCAATCTATTAGCAGATTACGCTTGAAATGTCAAAAAAAAAAGGGAAATGAGGATGATCCCTTTCTAAGTTTTAGTGGCGACTTTTTGCGCTAGCTGTTTTAAGCTAAATTTTGATTTACTATATTTCTCCCTTTTGCTATGATGGGGATAAGTGTATTTGTAATTAAGTAGTTTCTTCTTAGAGAAATATGTGCAATATCCTTCCATTTGATGTTGTTGCAAGTAAAGCAGGGCTTTGAAAGAATTTTAGCCCTCTCCCTGTTCCTATAAGTACACACTGCAATTTTTAAATTTGAGTTCTTATCCCAGCATAAGTTCATTTTTTGGAACTATAAATAGAATTTTGTTTGCCATTAAAAAGAATTCAAACTTTGTATTCTGGATGGCGAATTTAAAAAAAAAAAAAAAAGCTAAAAAAAGCCAGGATGCATGATACCCAGGCTTTTTTTCATTTTCATGAAAGCTACCTTCTGTATAAACATTTGTTGTATCTGACTATGCAATGCAAGCTAGGTGCTAGACCAGCTGGTTAAAAATATGCTAAGTCAAGCTGTTCATCGCTCAAACGACTGAATTTGATATGAAAAGACGAAAAAAGAAAGGACAAAGATTAAAACATTCTAGAAATGAAGCAATGGAAGGGAAGAAGGGTACTGAGAATAAAATAATGCTTGAATGTGGTCACATATTAGAGAAGCCAATATCAGATCAGAGAAGAAAGTAAAATAGCCGCTATATATACTTTAATAGTTTTCTTTCTTTCATTTCCTCTTTTTTTTTTAATTAAGGTGCATCCTCACTAAATAATTCCAGTGAATGGTTGAGCTTTCTTAACAGTTTTGAATTAATTTTTTCAAAGTTCTGTATATTAACTCTTTAAAATAGTTAGCTTTTGTTTGCAAATATAGCCTGTTTCCTACCTAGATATTGAAATTATTTATATTGGAACATACTATTGCTTAATGTAGCAGTTTGTTAATATGCTACAGTAAGTTTTGTAGCATGCGCAGAGTAGCACTTAAATGATAATATTCTTCAACTCTGTATTTTTTGAAAATAAAACTCTGAGTCTGATTTGTAAGCCTGTTAACAGATTGTTCTTATAAAAGGTAGTTACACATTAACAGGTTGTAGCCTATTTCTCTATACAGGCAAGCTTTCCTGCTGTGAACTTTATTTGTATTTTTTCAATTATCTTTTTTTAAACTAAACTTTTCCCTTTCCTATTCTGATGCTCAAATCTCTTAACTATTTTTTTTCCTCCTCGTGAGAATTTCATTATTTTGTCACCCAGAGGCATGCTTTTCTAACTGGCTAATTAAATAAGCAAGTGATAATCAATCAATAGAGTTGTTAGTATAGATAGCATACTTGGAAATATTAGTAACTAAAATAATTTTGAAAAATGTCATACCATATAAAATTTCTTAATAATTTCCCCTGTGGTTGTAATTGGTAATACATACAAAAATCTCAGTATAAATCATTACTATTTGTTTACATTGAGTTCGTACGGATGAGTGTATCGATAGTCACTCACAGGGAGTAAATCACACAGACTCAATATTGAATATTTATAGTCTCCAAAGGAGGTATATATGCTATAATTATACTATCATATATAGTCAGCTTTTTTTGCCTTTTAAACTATTTGCAACTTTCATTGAATAAGTAGGTCGTATCTATTGAGTGTTAATTTTTATTCTATTTGCTCATCTGATATAGATAAGTTATTCACTCAAACTTAGAAATCTGAAAAGAAGATTTCTAAATGTCTTTATGAAATAGAGAATTTTGCTGTAGAGAATATAAATAAATTGCTTGGGATTCATGTATTTTGGAAGTTTTATGTGATCTTTTTTCTAATTTTATTGGTAGAGTCTTCCTTATCTTCTGTTATTCTTTCCAACCTGTAGACTATTTGGAACTTTAAGGAATATTCAAAACTTAAATACCAGGATCAAAATTTGGATTTAGATTTGTTATGTCTGTATTATCAGCCCCAGAAATGAACATGGTCAGTACTGTCAGGCTAACAAGCAGTTGTTAAATAATTCAGAAGTAGTAACATTTTCATCGTCTGTTAAAAAACGTTCAGGAGGTAAAGCAAATGGAACAGTGATTCTGAAAAGTAAAGAAGTTAAAATATTTTATTTTTATTTTCAGGAGTCCCTGTCATAACTGATTATGATTAATGAAAAACACAATTTTCAGGTGGGAGGTGAAAGGCAAAGTATGTTCTAAGGAATTATTTGTACTCAAAGTCTTTTACATCCTACTATTTAGAGGAAACTTAAATGGCAACTTGTTCTAAATGTTGGGAGCAGCATCATTAGAATGAATGCTTGAATTCTCCTAAAAATTTTTAAAAGAAGACAGTGAATTTATATATTTGAAAATAAATGGTAAGAAATTGTGTCTTAAGGTTTTTCCTTTCAGAATACCATCTATTTTTTATATTCCTAGAATAAAAATATGTAAAATATTTACCTTAAATATCAGTATTAGTTTGTTTCTAATGAATGAAAAAAAGCAATTTTTGATGCTATCAATTATATTGTGGTCTATTTCCTTTTTATTTATATTTATCCTATTTGATTGTAATGTAATAGTTTTATGACTAAGCTACTTGTTACACTTTCTAATTGCTTTATGTTAGAGACTTAATTAAAAAGGAAGTGTAAGGTGATTGATTAAGAAGACAGTCTGATAATGTCTAGAAAGAAAAAAAAAGTTGGGACTGAAGGTAGTGGGATGAAGCAAATTAAGCTTTTAGTATCACCTATATGATTCTTCTCTCAAAACGGGTGCAGACAACAGACTGCCTATTTTCTGCATTTTGAAGGGAGCACTACAAGAGTAAAACCTTCTGCAATAAAAATTTAACTTATTATTTACTTTATATTCCCATCAAATTTATTTGTGGTAACATTGATTAAAGAAATAATTTTTTCACATTAGTGAACTTTTCAGTGTTTTTCTGAAGAAAGAAATATACATCAGGTACTTTGGAAAACTAATTTGTAAAATTACCATGAAAAATTACCATTAGCAGACTGCAAGAATGTCTCTGACATTAGCGGTACTTTAATTACCTAAAGTTTGGCCATAGTAATAAAATATTTATTACCTGGACAGATTTATTCAGCTTAATTAGAAACTTATTTTTTTAACCATTGTGAGCATGAGTGATGAGTACATGCAAGTTAGCAGGTAACCCCTAGGTGTGAATCAAAGGAAAGTTATGTGTTCACGTTCTGTCACCTGATGGCAACTTTAAACCTGCAAGTTTGATATTACCTTTTCAGGATGTTCTGATATCTTTGTTCCTTTTTTAAGTTTCTCATTTACTACTACTTTGTAGAGGAAAAGGTGCCTACAACTGATTACAGATTTTAATCACCATGTCAATAATTTGCAAGCTGAGCTAAGATACTGGGTTGGAATGTAGCTTGCATGAAGCAGTGGAGAAACTACACTTCTATCACACTCACACTGGAGTGCTGTTCTGAAGACTTAGCAGGAGACCTGACTGATTACCAAGAACAATTAATGGTTAAATGTCAGGTGGCATTGTGTACTGCTCAGTGTTCAGCAAGTTGATAGATATAGAAATGTGTAAATGTTGTGATTACTTCAGATGTTGGTGTGTTCCTTTCTTATCTTATGTTTCTCAAATACAATTAGCATTCAATAAAGCATTTACCTGTTCTTAGGGAGCTTTTAACTAAAATCTGTGTATGTATCACACCTGAGAGGCACATAATAAGACCTGTTTTAATCCTTTAGCACATTACTCCTCCATAGAGTTGGAAGCTATTTCAAATGGGTTACAGTCATGATGCATTTAAAAAGCAAAATTACATTCATGGAGAAAGTCTGATTTTTATTGTCTCTTCTTTCCCCTATCAGTTCTTCAGTCACCTAGTGAGTATGTGTATAATGCAGATGTGTATTATGTAGGTTCAGCACCTCCCTTTTTATAGATTAGTTAAATAAGTTTAACTGATGGATTTTTGTTTTCTTCTGTAATTTGTTATTCATTTGTGCTTTCAGTGAGGTTAACCAGCAGCATGAGAAATAAACCAATCTAGATATTTCTCTTGTGTTAACACACATATAGTTTAATATGTCAAGTTTCTGACTCAGATGATGACAGTCAGAGAAGATGTTCAAAGATTTAACCAAAACGTGAAATATGTTCCTTTTAATGGAAAAATTTTGTTGAACAAGAAGTGGACTAAAACATAGCAAATTCCTCCTTGCTTCATTCATTCTGTCCTTTCGTTTTCATTGATTGATAGCATCATCATTTATATTAAATATACAGTTTGAGTGCTTTATACATGAACATGATCCAAGTGATATTACTAGAGAAGAAAAAATTCTAAAGACTGATACCATTGCCCTTAAGTGAACAGTGTTTATTCGGGCACTCTTTAGAAGAAAGCCTCATATTCCTTCATTTTCATCAGGAACTGATAATGGTTCAGGAGAAGACCTTTTATCCTTTCCGACTTCTGTGTTTTCTCCTGCAGTTTGGAAGCTGCTCTCTCTTCCCGTTAGCATGATCTATTCTTCTCTTCACTTACTAGTTGAGAGTTCCTACATCTCCTCTGGAGATACTGTGGCGTATGGTTCTGCTTGTCCAATAGGGAGGTGTTGCATTTCTACACATTCAGTCTCCTTTTCCCTTGGAGCCTGAGAGTAAAACCTCAGCAGTACTCCCTGCCTTTGCCAGCCTGAGGAGTCAGAGACTCAAAGTTGTTCCCAGCTCTCGCGCCTTCATTGTAGAGCTGCATTCTGCTCAGTGGGCTGCCGAGAAGGACCAGACCGAAACAAGATTTAGAAGAATTCTGGTGAGATCTGTTTTTAGGGATATGGTATTTTAAAAGAATGCAGTAAACAAACAGAATTGTGGCATAAACAAAGATAATTAGCATAAACAATGTCGTTTTAGGACAGGTGGTTTAAAAAAACAAACAAAACAAAAAACCCAAATATGAACCCAACTTGAATGCTGCCAGTTTGGAACCACTGAACCTTAATCTGTACTTCATGAGAATTACCCAGGTTTGTTGATAAACTTGTTAACATGCTTTTTCTGTTTCCTTTGTATCATTTTCCGGTCATTATGCCCTTTTGTCACCCAGCTTGAAAGTAATTAATCTATTACAAGGTAGTTTAAGGACTTTTTACCCATAAAACAAGACAGAAGGAAAATTGGAAACAAAAGCTTGTGGATGCTCATAGACATTTGAAATCAGTGTCGAACCTTAAATCAATTCAAACCCGAACTCGGCTCATTGTATTTCAGATCTCTCTTTTATCTAAGTAACATTTCAGTCACTTGGCTCTTTAGTGTTAATACATTTACTTTTGTCTTGCCTTAGAATTCAGAGATTTTTTTGCTATGACTGAATCATCACTTGTGCTATATGTTTATTTCTAAGTGTTGCTTATTTCTTCTTATTTTTCTCTATGACTTAGTGAAGGTGTTGCAGCAGCAGCGTATAAATGTAGCTGGTGATCATGCAATTTGAGGATGCTAGTTATGGTGAACCACATTATCTAAAACTCCTATGCCGTCGTGATGCATTTTTATCTGGAGACATTTAGGTTTATTACTAAATGACGTTTCTTCTTAATGCCTTGTATTGAAATATTTTGACTTACATGAAACGTGGAGTGTAGTGAACAGAAAGCTGTTTATTTTTCTTGCATTAAGGACCAAAGTTCTTTTCTGAAGTTAAAATGATGTTTTTTTCTGCATTTTCTCATGGAGAATGGGGACCAGGAATTCAAAGTAGGTATCTCTGGTATTCTGTAGCCCTTTTCTTTGCTGAAATGAAAGCATTTGTGAATGAGTTTTGGTTTCTTGGAGTTATAAAGATGTGTGTAAACTAGTAAACCATGTCTCATTCATGTGCTATGGAGATTTCTCGTACTTCAGGGACAAAAATAATTTGGCTACTAACGAATTAGGGCTACCTGCCAGTGCCAACACATACTGTAGGTAAGAGGAACACTATAAAGAAAAGCTGCTGGCAGCAGATCCGTTGAAACTTTCATATGTAACAGCGTTTCTATTTCTGCTCTTCACATCTTTGGAAGAATGTGTTTTTTAGAAAAGAAAATGTTAAAAAACAGAAGATAGGATCTTTCTTAAAAATGTATTAGTAGCTTCATTTTTAATATTTCTCATTATGGGGATGCATAGGGTTTCATTATGTTCTATGTTCCCCTACCCATCCCAGTCATTTCTGTCACATTGAAACCTAAGAATCAGATGCAGTGAGGATAGATGTAATATGAAGAAATGAAATTCACTGTATAGGGCCACAAAAAAAAAGGTACTCTCAAAACCTTCTAAGATTTTTATATTGGCAGTTTGAGAGAGTTAGATCAGTTGGGACCCTGAGCAGCAGTTTCGTGAAGAATGTGTCCCCTCTTTTAGGGCTTCAGGAACATTATTGAGAAAAGAAGAGAAAGGGTTAACCTGCTTTGCTTGTTGATAATTTTTTAACCTAGCAGTAAAAGAGGACACAGGCCCAAATAGTGTTTTCTTGAGCTTTTTAAATCAAAATTTATTTTAAAGTGTAGTAAATGATTTACTTTAGTGCTGATTTTGGTTTTGTTTTCTGTTTTTATATTAATTAGGGTGAGGATACCAAGGGGTTAGGTTGTTTGAGAACTAGTTGTGGAACTTTCACATATGATCTGTTCACTTGTCATTTTTAAACAATTTTATATTTATCTAATAAAAAAGCATCCTGAAGAAAGAGAAACACAAATGTTGAAAATGAGAAATACACCTTCACATAAGAGAACACACAATGAAAAAAGCAATGGCTTATTTATGCTATTAATTTTCATTCACAGTTATATAGGTTATTTGACAAAGTTCTAAAATATTTTTGTTCCAATTCTGAAGGTAAGGTATTATTTGCATACAATTCTTCCTTTGGGTTATTTACCTGGGCCAGAGTTTGTTGGGCAATAATTTACAAAGTCCAAAGACTTTTTTTACTCCTTTCCTGATGTTCCTTTGTTTTACTCCCCCCTCCCCCTTTTTATTTGCTATTGGGTTTCATCATATGTTTGCAAAGAGTTTGCAGGAAAATGTCACATAAAATTAATGTTAACATTTCTTTTTTTTTATATACACTAAAAAAGATCTATGTTGAAGCTTCATTAGGATAAGGTATAGTGTTCCTATTCTTTAGAAGAGAAAGGAAAGAACTTGTGATCAAACTATTCAATTTTTCATTCATTCACTAATTCCACTTTGACCTTGAATGAGTGGTAACTGAATATACAATATCAGATTCAGATTGTCATCTCTCCCATAGTATTATCAGGATGTGAAGAAAACTTTTATGTAATATTCAAAGTACCATTAATCAAACAGAACACCTAGGAATGGAAAAACAAAGATAACAATGAATGCTATTTCTGAGGCAAGAACTTCTGTTTCCCTCCTGTCCTAAACATAGCTACAATTTGGGAAATAGAGGAAAAGGTATTGTTTTTAGAGCCCTAAGGATTATGGGATTTAAATATGGTAGTATAATTGTTTATAAAAATCTGAGCATTACTGGAAAAATAAAATGGATCTAATTTGACCTATAAACAGTTTAGGAATATTTAATGCTTTAAAAGCATTCTTCTAGAGAAATAAAAGAATATTCAAAAGATCCTGATAGCAATTTAAAGCATCAAAGTGAAGGAGCAGAATATATAGACTTTTATAAGTAAATTAAGAGATAATTGGGAGTCACTAGCAGTTATGTGAAGAATTTATTTTCGGGAATGTAGTAGTTATACACATATACACATAGAAAAGTTTGGAATACAGGAGAAACTTTTTCACTTACAGGGTAATTGAATTTTGAATAAGTTGATTTTGAATAAATCCTACCAAGGCTTGATGAAGCTGCAGTTTAGAGGAGAAAATCTTGAAATGAAGAAATATTTTATAGAAATACAAACACGATTCATTCCCACTTTGTCATTTACAACACAGAATCCTATGGCATGAGCTATAGGGACATAAAATAGTATTCCAGTTTTAAAAAATCTGAAAGTGTTGTTGTGGTGCATATTTAATGGAAAGTTTGAATTCAAGAAGTTGGATAAATCAAGGTATGCTTGAGGAAAATTTGGGGATATTTGAGATTTTGGATTGAGATGAGAAAATTGAGTGTTAGAGGCGTAAGGCATACATATCAAATAGACTTTTTTTTTTGGTGGATTTTGAGTATTACTCCTGAAGCATTGAGCCTTTTCTCTTTGTTGATAAAAATTTACCTTTGTCAATATCTTCACTGATTTTCTCTTTGGAAGTGTAATAGCAGAAGTGTTATTAGCTGGGTGTAAGACCTCAAGTTCTAGTTCTTCCCCGCAGCCTGAGAAGAGGTTTTAGGTCTTAGTGTGTGTATTTGTAAAATGTGAAGGTAGGCTGGATAATTTCTAACATCTCTCAAGTCTAAATTTCATCACTTTGAGCTACATTTCCTCACGTCAGTTTCATCACTTTGAGCTACCTTTGAAAGATCCCTAGCTCCTTATTCTGATGGTCAGAACTATTACATTGATGCAGCTATCTGGAGACAGAGTATCTCCTATAACCAGCCTTTACATGTGCAATCACGTCTCAGTTCCAATGAGTGGTGTCGTGCAGGAACAAGTAACCATAGTATATTTTAGGAGTTTTTAATCTAAAGTACTATGTATAATTCTAATTTAGGATTAAGTGCTTAAATTTGCGACGAACTATTTTGAAGCTAAGTGTTTCAAAAGATAAAATTTATATTCTATGTGTCAACTATTACAAATATTGTGAAAAATAAATTACATATGGATTACTATAGAAGGCACTGTGGGGGAATATGAAAAGCATGAGAGTGGCGTTTTAGGTCAAAGAGCTGAAAGTCTATTTATAAGGATAAGATAAAAGAAAAAAAATTAGACAGTAGAACATTAGAACAACATAGGGGCTCTGAACCGTATATGTCTCTATATGAGTAAGTAAACCACTGGGCTGGATAGTGGCAAGATCAACCAAAATTACAAACAGGTAGTCCAAAGAAAGATTTTAAATGATTCTGAAAATAAATTAGAAAACTATTATCATTAGCATCAGGCCAGCAAACCTAATATGCATTAGTTGGTGGTTGGCAATTTTAAGAAAAGAAAAGTTAAATTCTATGAAGCGAGGAGTAGAGGAACAACCAATGAAAGATGCATTAAAAATCTTTGCTATCTGAGAGGACGAGCTTCACATATTGTTAATATCTTACATTCGGCAGATTGCATGCTTTTTTTTTTTAACACAATATTTGGAAAAAAAAGTGTTGTTATACTATCGGCAACATAATCTTTGACTACATATCCAAGGACCTTCCATGCTATCTATACTTTGAAAATATGACTGTGGGCTCATGAAGTCCTTGTACAAATTAGTTATAAGTTTAAAAAATAGATTCATATATTTGGGATGACATAGGAATTGGCTATATGTTAAAATTAATTCTTTACTTAATAATTACGATGGAGAAGTTTTTATTCTATTCTTGCCACTTTTAATTTAGGAATAAAGAATGGGTGTTATTCTCTTATTCTGGTATGGATATAAAGGTTGTTAAAAAAAAAAACAAACAAACAGAAGAGGACCTTATTGATCCAGAACTACTTTTAGAACTAGGACCAAGGGAAATGTGCAAACATCCTACTGTTAAACAAGAAAGAAAATCTGGAAATCATCCCAGTTGGGCAACTTACTGCTAATATATTTTACAATCCAGCATTTAGTTATATACAAAGTTGGCATAGGTTCCTACAGTTTCTAAATCAAGAA